GCCCCACCCTTTAAAATGGCGGCCAACTAAACTTCGAACTACTATTCCTCGAACTAAACTTGGTTGTAAGACTTTCCTCGAACTTTACTCAAACTAGTCATGAGTTCTATTCACGTTACAGTTCCTATTGTGTTTTGGGGGCATCATCCTCCAGTACACGATATTACCTGTATGACCAGGTACAGAGCTTTGGATTTGATACTGATACTGACTTGTATTCAATCATAGGACAGAGGAAGATAAAGGAGTAGCTACTGGTACTAAAACGGGACAGATATGCATCTGGGACTTATACAGGAAGAGAATCAATGGAGAATTTGTGGTTAGACCATTCATCACTATCACTTAAAAGCCTTCTGTATCATTTTAATTAATGCCCACCACCATTTCCAATTAATGCCCATCCTTTTCTAGTTATGTCCGAGGCTATTATTACTAGGTATGCAGTCAAGTGTATTGTCTCTTGCTTTTGTTAAGAACTGGTCTGGAGACAGGGACAGGATTGTGAGTCTTAGTAAAAATGGGTGCGTTGATGTGGTAGGGGTGTGGCTAGTTATTAATGTTATATTAATAGGTGCATAGCATTGTGGGATGGTAAAGATGGGACGTGTCTTAAGACTGTTAATAATCTTGGAAATGGAATGCATTATGGAATAAAGGTAGTGGTAATATTAATGCAGCATTATGTAAATCATGGTTTCCCACATAAAATTGTGCTTGGTGAGCTAAACAGCGCAAGTACTATGGAGTAGCTTTAAAAATTTATTTAAAAATCTAATTTTTATCAGAGTCAGCTCAAACTTTCTACACAACATAAGTGCATGTATATGCATCAGAAAAATGATAAAAATGGAGAATTTTCTCCTTTTAAATTTTGGCAAAAATTTGGCTCAAGACCATGTTATAATACAGGGACTTTGACCTGGTTTTTGAGCAACATTCACATGTCAATTTTGATCACAATTAACTTAAACTTCCCCCTCTCTCTCTCTCTTTCTTTCCCTTTCTATTATTTCTAGTCAATAGCACGTCCTGCTATTAAAGAAACCTTGATTGCTGTTTGGGGACAATATCACAATATATTCATACTTGATCCTAATACACTGGAGGTATCATTATTAATTATTGTTGTTTTTATTTTCACTATTATCAAGAGTGGATAAATAAGGACTTACAGATTATTATTTGTTTATTT